TCTAGAGGAATTTAAAGTAAAATAAAGATAGACCCCTTGTACGAAAGGAATTGGGTATGTTGACCTATAGTTTACTTGTTGTTACGTTAGGTATTTCATTTTTACTAGAATGAATAACAAACTGAGTAGGAAAAAACTAAATAGATGACTCAAAAAAAGTAGTTAGCCTAACTTAGCATGGCAAGAAAGCCACGTCAATTAAAGATAAAGGCTGAAGGCATATAAGCTTGAAACTCACTTTATTATACTTTTAAAGTTGTAGTAAAACACTACATAAAACATAATTATGCGAGTGGTTTGCTTTGCAGCAATGCTGCAAACCACTGATTGGATAATTTGTTTATAGGCTTTGGTTACAAGAACTTTGCGGTTTTTAGATATAAAGTACTAATTTCTAATTACTAAATAATACCATTATCTATGTAAGCCTGGTTAGCATAAAAGTAATGCTACCGTTTTGTAATCGGTGGAAGTAAGTGCGATACTTACACCGGGCTAAATAAGCTTATCTTCAACTAACGAGTAAGCTTAGTATTTACTTGTAAAAAGACCCAGTCGTCAAGTCAGGTTAAGACATAACACTTTCACTGTTACAACGAGAGTTCAAATCTCTCCTGGGTCATAGGGAAATTAGCTCAGTGGTAGAGCAGTCGCTTTACACGCGAATGGTCAGGTGCTCGACTCACCTATTTCTCAAGGTTTTGCCTTGCAAGGCAAAGCTTAGGCCTGTGCTTAAAGCATGGATCACCTAATATAACGATATTTTAATAAATAAACAAAAATATATAAATTATTTCTTATTCCTTTACAAGCTACTCTTATTTTTTTCACATAAAACAAAAAAAGCTAAGATATAAATTCTCTGAATTTAAATTCTTAGAATTTAAATATAAAATAAACATGTTAACAATAATATCAATAATAGAAGTAATTTTAGTGGTCGTACCCGCTCTTTTAGTAGTAGCTTTTACTACTGTAGCGGAGAGAAAAACAATGGCTAGTATGCAAAGAAGATTAGGTCCAAATATAGTTGGGTATTACGGGTTATTACAGGCGTTTGCTGACGCATTAAAACTTTTATTAAAAGAATGTGTATCACCAACACAAGCCAATTTAGTATTATTTTTTTTGGGTCCTTTAATAACCTTAATTTTTTCATTACTAGGTTATGCGGTTATACCCTACGGACCTGGTTTAACCATAGGAGATATGCCTTTAGGTATATTATATTTGTTAGCGGTGTCATCTCTTTCAACCTATGGGATTTTATTAGCCGGTTGATCCGCTAATTCTAAATATGCTTTCCTGGGTTCTTTAAGAAGTACAGCACAATTAATAAGCTATGAATTAATCTTAAGTTCTGCTATATTATTAGTGCTATTGTTATCTGGAAATTTAAATATAAGTGGTAATATAGAAGCTCAAAAAACGGTTTATTTTTTAATGCCTTTATTACCCGTATTTATTATATTTTTTATAGGTGCTATAGCGGAAACGAATAGAGCACCATTTGATTTAGCAGAAGCAGAATCAGAACTAGTTTCTGGGTTTATGACAGAGCATTCCGCTGCAATATTTGTGTTTTTCTTTTTAGCAGAATACGCAAGTATTGTGTTAATTTGTATATTTACTAGTATTTTATACATAGGTGGTTATTTAAATATAGTAAATTTAGATTTGGTTAAACCAATCCTAAACTTCATAATAACAAACAATCCGGATGGCCACTCAAGATTAATATTTGTATTATTAGAAGGATTAAATACTAGTCTTAATATAGGATTAAAAGGGTGTGTAATGGTTTTTGTATTCATATGAGTAAGAGCTTCTTTCCCTAGAATACGTTTTGATCAACTTATGTCAACATGTTGAGTTATCTTACTACCAATTATTATATCATTAATTGTACTATTTCCATGTGTAATACAAGCCTCTTATTTTACTTCTGTTCAATTTTTTATGGTCTAACTAAAAATAAGATTAACTAGCCAAACGTTTTTTTAAAAAAGATAGATGATAAACATAATGTGTTTAAAAAAATAATTGAGTTTGATGATGGCTCTGAGTGAACGCTGTCCAAATGCTTGACACATGCTAATCGAACGACTAATTTAATTATGTATAGAGTAATATATAAAAACATTAGTAGTGGTGTACAGGTGAGTAAATATAAATGGACTGCCTTAAAGTAAGGAAGTAAAGATCCCTTATAAAAATAAAGAAATAGAAAATTTCGCTTTAAGATGTTTATTTATTCCGAAAGAGTAATAGAAAAATCTAGCTCGTGTTTCGGTAGTCGTGACTGAGAGGTCGATCGACCACATTGGGTATGAAAAAAGCCCAATGCGTAACGTACAGCAGTGGGGAATCTTGGTCAATGGTCTAAGGACTGAACCAGCAATTTGGAGGAATGGAAAACGAATAAATCGTATAAAGTTCTAGATAAAAAATTTATAATGACTAATTTTTATCTATAAGTCTTGACCAAATTACGTGCCAGCAGTCGCGGTAATACGTAGAAGACAAGTGTTATTCATCTTTAACAGGTTTAAAGGGTACCTAGACGGGAAATCAAGCCAGTGTAAAACAGAGGTACTAATTTCCTAGAGTTTTATATGTCAAGTTTGAACTATCTGAGGAGAGATGTAATGCAGAGATACAGATAGGACGGATCGCAGCGTAGGCGTACTTGTGTGTAAAAACTGACGTTGAGGGACGAAGCCCGGGGGAGCGATAAGGATTAGATACCCTAGTAGTCCAGGGAGAAAATTATGAGTGCCATAAACTAGACAAATGTTTGGTCTATAAATGAAAGTGTAAGCATTCCACCTCATGAGTAAAGCGGCAACGCCGAAATTGAAATCATTAGACCGTTTCTGAAACCAGTAGTGAAGTATGTTATTTAATTCGATGGTCCGCGAATAACCTTACCACCTCTTGAATCATTTAGATAATGAACAAGCGCTGCACGGCTGTCTTCAGTTAATGTCGTGAGACTAGGTTAATTCCGCTAATTAACGAAAACCCTTGTTTTATTTTATATATATAGAACTGTTCACCAATACAATGGAAAGGATAAATGGGACCAAGACAAGTCATCATGGCCTAAATGAGCGTGGGCTATAGACGTGCCACATATGCCTCTACAAAAGGACGCGATATTGTAAAATGGAGCTAATCCTCAAAATTGGACATAACTATTCGTGAATTGTAGTCTGAAACCCGACTACATGAATATGGAATTACTAGTAATCGTGAATCATCACGTCACGGTGAATTTTATCTCAGTTGGGTACTAACCACTCGTCAGGCGCTGAAAGGGGTTTGCGCAATAAGTTTGGTTACAACTTGTTTTTTAATATACTTAGTTAGATGTTTATTATTCAGCTTGTGATTTTCGTATGTGTGACCTCAATTGGTGTTAAGTCGAAATACGGTTCGTGTAACGGAAGTTGCACGGGATGGATTATCCTTAAAAAAACCGCTTAACTATAGTTAAAGCGTGACTTAGCGGTATGTTTTACCGCATGCCAAATAACCTGTTTATTTAAGAGAAGAAGATAAATTAAAAAAATAAGAGATATTAATGTGTAGTAGCATGCCTCAGTTGGTACCCTTTTATTTCGTAAATCAAGTCTATTACAATTTTGTATTGTTAGTTGTTATGGTTTACATATTCACTAAATACTATTTACCTAGATTTGTACGAACATTTAAGGCGCGTATACACATTAGTAATTTATAAATAAATAAAAAAAAAAAAAAAAATGATAATAACAATAAATCCTTTAACAATTTTGGCGGCAAAGGCGTGATTTTACACCTATAATAATATAAAACGAACCCACACGGGGACAAACGAGGAAGCCTTTAACCATAACCATTTTGGCTTTAAAATGTTACAAATGCACAACAAATTAGTTACAGATAATAAATTTGCTGGCAACAACAAGGTAGTGGAAGTACATAAAGTTTATTTTCAAGATTCTTCTACTGACTATGTATGTAAATTTATGGGTAAAGATGGGGCGGTTATGGAGCTTTCTTTTCCAAATATACAGGGGCTCCCTGGTTTAGAGGAAGCAGAATCCTCAGATCATGTTTGAGGTAATTATGAGTTTAGGGGATCGAAATGAGAACCATTAAACGATTCCATGTCTTCTTTTAACCAAAGTGTTATAGAACGTAGCAATCAATTAAATTCAGATTCTCCCATATTTAAATACCTGAAAAAATACATGGAAGCTACAGCAACTAAAAAGGAAATACCAGCAGAAATTAGACAAGCCGTAACAGCGGAATATAATTCAGAGAAGTCTGAAATAAAACAAATAGCCGATCCAAGTCTTATGCAAGAAAAGATGAAACTATTGCAAGAAATATCCGAACCGGATCGTTTAGCCGCTAAGTGGAAAGCATTGGAAGAACTACTTACTGCTATTTCTGATATCACAGGATAAAAAAAAAAAATGCGGAGTGGTGTAAAGGTAACACATCAGACTCATGATCTGAAAATTGGGGTTCAAATCCTTGCTCCGCACCTTATTTGCGCATTATGTGCAAGCCCTTTTTACCGCCGATACTACAATGGATATTAAACAACGGTTTAACTAGGTATTAAACTGGTGTTATCGAAAAAAAGGTAAAAAAAAAACATTGAAAGGTTTAAACCTGAGCCTTGTCTAGATGATCGGCAACAACAATCTTCAACAAAAAAGCAAAGGTTAAATTTTTGTAAAAACTTATACTAATTTAATGAAAAGGGTGAACATTAATCCTATAATATCGTAAACTTTCAAGTCGTAGCTTATAAATTAGAGCACTCGAAGCAAGGCGCAAACAAAAAAAATCCGAGTGCTGGAAATTGGTAGACAGGATAATCTTAAGATTTATTGATTAATATCGTAAACGTTCAAGTCGTTTCTCGGATATAAAACCTAGGGGATATAGTTTAAATGGTAAAACAACGAACTTGCACTTCGTAATTTTAGGCTCAATTCCTAATATCTCCAAAGAAAGGGTATATTAAAAGCTCGAGAAGCTCAACCTGGTGGAGCGGGACACTGAAGATGTTTAGGTTGTAAGTTCAAATCTTACTTCGAGCGAAAAAAAAATAGGTGTGCTGGAATTGGTAGACAGGTTTCGTTTAGGCCGAGATGGTTTTTACTGTGCAAGTTCGAGTCTTGTCATCTATATATGTTGTCGACTAATTGGTAAGTCATAAATTTTTGGTATTTACTACTGAGTGTTCGAATCGCTCCAACATAAAAATCAAATACTATTATCTATATATTTGATTTATTTTGTTTAAGAAGTGGTAGTTTAATAGGTAGAACCTTGTGCTACGGACACTTTAATATAAGTTCGAGTCTTATCCACTTCTTAAATACAAGGGGAATAAGCTGCAAAAGGTTTGCATTTTGATTGCAGATCAACAATTAGAAGTTCGATTCTTCCTTATTCCTATAAGCCTTTATAGCTCAAAGGTAGAGCAAAATACTGTTAATATTTGGGTTAGGTGTTCGAGTCATCTTAAAGGCGCATTCTTGTGCAAAAAAAAAAAAGAGATCTTAGTTTAATGGTAAAACATGCGACTTTTAATCGTTATAATGTGGGTTCAAGTCCCACAGATCTTATATAAAAAAAATTAATTTTTATAATTAAGGCTATAGCTTAACCGGAAGAGCCAGCTGCTCATGACAGCTTAGATGAGTGTTCGAATCATTCTAGCCTTAACCGCCAAGATAGTTCAATTGGTTAGAACATTAACTTCATGCGTTAAATATGAGAATTCGATTTTCTCTCTTGGTTCAAGCGTAAGTATCGCTTGTATCTTTATATAAAAAAAAAAAAAGCACACCACTTTGTAAGTTTACAAAGTGCTTTAAGTAAACATGATAATAGTTAAATAAGCTAAACCTGTACCAATGTAAAACATCCCTATGTTAATTATATATGAAGGTTTCTTTCGTAATACAGATATTAAAATTATAACTTATGATACAAGCAGCAAAAATAATTGGTACAGGTTTAGCCACAACAGGATTAATAGGAGCCGGTGTAGGAATAGGTGTAGTGTTTGGTGCACTAATATT